CGGATGATGCCGTAAACATTGACGAAACCGCTGACTTTGGCCAACGCCCACACAGTCACCTCCAACCACCCAGTACTGCCAGCATCGGGTCGAGATTGTGTCTCACTCTCCCAAATGGTAGTCCAACGAGGTTACTTTAAGCAGGTGAAATGTCGATGGTCAAGGGGATTGTGATGCGTCTGAGGTGAGCATTTTGCGTCTCGGCGCACACGGTTGCCAGCTTGCGCACCGCACATAGTCATTTGTAGCATGAAACCTTGCGCATGGTCAAGGCGAGCGGATACGTTCACTTTCGTGGGCAGTGCGCATTGCACATGCTGCACTCATGCCCACATTCCTGGCGTCTCCGTTTCCTGTGGCCGAGCTGCCTCGTTTTATACTTGCTCAGTCCCACGTCATTCGCGTAATCATTCGGCAGCTGGTGCTGCCCATCTACCAGCACCCACTGGAATCCGCTGACAATCCACATGGTCATGCATCAGGCGGCACTTCAGTCATCCACTTGCGAGTTCAGACAATGCGCTTAGTGCATGTTTACGCGTCAAAGTCACGAGACGACTTGATTTATTGCCTTCACATTCACAAGCGGTGGTGTTTTCCTGCTTAGGTTGCTGTGCGTTGCAGTATGTGTGGCTGCTCAGGTGAATCACATGCAAACACAAAAGTGCATGTGATTGGAGATATTCGTCTTCATATTCGCTTTCGATAGGTGACCGTAGGGAAGACGTCGATGATTTGGTACCGGCTATCCCATTTATGCATACGGAGGTCAATTTGCCGACAATGCCGATCGCGCACATCGCACATCGATAAATAATGTGGTGGATGTTGAGACTGCGCTTCAATGACGCCTCGTTGGTGGGAGTTGGGCAAAGCACCGTGCAATGTTACTGTGAATTTGAGGTTCTCCCCTCCTTCGTCCTGTGGTGGAGTGACGTCAACATAACGCTGCATTCCAACATGTTAGCGCTGCTACTGCTGCAGCTGGTGGAGTAGAGAACAGTGCGTGACATTTCAGGCCAACTTCGCTTCCTCCTACCTCATTCTGCCGCACAAATTCTCCACACGCGAGCATACTTTCGACACCCCTCAATACACACTTCCATCCTACACGCAGCTACAGAACTTCCCCACGTACTGCATTAGCAATGTCACTTATTCCGTGACATTCCAACTCTCTCGTTTGGTATGTCGGTGTGTGTGTGTGTGTGGATATGGCAGGGAGCAACATATTTGTCGCTTCAAATGGGCTGCAGTGAACTTGGTGCTGCTCCAACTATACGAGCTGCCTGCCACGAGTGTCGAGGTGTGGTGGGCAGTTGTTACCTCATTTTCTTGTGTCATCACCTACTGATGGTCATGCACCCACGCAACTGGAGAACTCGCATCAACAATCACGTCACATCTCAGTGCCGAAATGCGCACCATCAGTCCACACTTGGTGGTGGTGATGTGCACACGGAATGGACACTCACCATAGCGAGGATAGTTTGGTTGGTGTGACACCACACGAAGCACACTTGTCCATCAATCCGAAAGGACGCGATTGTTTGGTGCAGTGGAAGTCTCGTCCACCACAACACCAGCGAATATGGATGGATCGAGTAGATGGTGATGGAGGCGATTGTCTTGCATTTACATCACGTGACCTACGGACTGCCAAAGACGCTCTTGCAGATGCTGCCAGAAGTATGTTTGAAGACTATTGTAAGTGACTGTAACATGCATTGGACTAAGTAATCCACGACTTCCGTTCTTTGACGCCACGTTGGGATGAATTTGGGTATCAGCTGCTACTTTGTCGCCTCATTGCTATCATTTAGCGCTGTCCCTTGTTTCGTTGCTTATTGGCATTTCTGCCCTTGGTGGTGTGGATTTGCACCGCTGTGACCGAGTGCCATGCAGTGCGTGGGTCGACTGACCTCGCACTCCTCATCACCCCACATCAAGGCGTGGTGATATCCTACCATTTGGACATTGAAGCAGTGCTGTTCATACATACATACATGCATACAAACATCGTCTGCATTGCAGGCCTCGTGAGAACACGAGGAACATAGCATCATGGATAGCAGTTCAGTTGCACATTCATTGTTCTCATGCCATGCAGATAATGCTGTTCGCCCCAAATGTCTTCATCGTTACTACCGCTATCCTTTTGCAAGTGTTACTTTCTTCAACCCAGTACCCGTTTGGATGGTGTGCTGAAGATGAGAGTGAGCAATTTTATGACACCGTTGGGGAGTGCTTGTAGGGAGTGAATGTTGTCATTGTTGACTGCATGGCGACTAGTCAGGGATGCAAAACTTTGCCCTGTTAGTGTTTCCTGGTGGCTGACTAGATCGCTGCACTGCACAAGTTGTGGAGAGTGGGGAGAAGTGTATTAGCGACTTCATATCACCATGGATGGTAGGAGTGAGTGGGATGGGAGGGTGGTGAATCGTTGTGTCGCAACAGTGATTGGCATTGTGCGGTGTAGGTAGCCACCACTCGTGACTTGTTCAGGATTGTCTCACCGTACTCCTCATCCATCGAATGCGGGCTTTAGTGGTCGCTTAACTACCTGCAGAGACCTGATGTGCGGATTAAAGTGGAGTATGTTACATTGGATGCATGCATCCATGCCCTCTGTGGCGGCAGTACAATTCGTGGTGGCTCCACCCACGATAGGCCCTCGTGGGAATCTAATTGCAATGCTGTTGTGCCCCTGGCAAGCAATGTTATTGCACGCACTGCAGAAATGTGAAGAAGAAGGAGGAGTTGGAGGAGGAGGCGGAGGCATATTTGGACTCAGTTAATGTGCAAAACCGAGAGACAGTAAAGTGCGATCACAAATGTTCTAACCGTTCTTTGTAACTGTAAGTTGTTGATCCACTCCCACTCCACACTGGCGCAGAAATGCATATTCCTCTTCCTAGCTGTGGAATTGCAGCAGTCTAGCTGATTTCAATCACCAAGCACCACCCCACCAACCACACTTCTTTCCCAACTTTGCATGTTTGAGTCGGTATGCACAACTAAACATATTTTGTGTTGACGAGGGATGTAGTTGACAGGCGCTGTCATAGCATGCGCGTCATACGTCCATTCTTCCCACTTTATCCACAGTAGAATTCGCAGTTCTCACACATCTCAGCACCCCTGCCAATGGGAGCGAGAACGAAAAAGCACTTAGTCGGGAGCAGCCAATTCAACTGTCGTAGATTTGTGCCACGGATAACATTGCACGTAGCTACCAGCGTTGATGGCGACAATTCGGCCTAACTGGACATCTCCGAGAGCCGAGTGACAAGACGCAATGACATACAGTGAGCAGCCGCTTTCATGCGGTTGTCTCGCAACCTCATAAAGAAGTTAAATGGGACAATGGGAAAGTTAAGTACGCACAGACGACATGTCACGCCTCGCAACCGTTTCGATATTTCCCTATGATGCCATTCGTGATCCTTGCTTTAATCCACGGGTCATCTCAAAACCACATAACCACGCCCACTGCCGCATTCCTGCCTAATGGACCCGATCAAGCACGAATAGACAAGCCCACAACACCTAACAGTCTCAAACGACAACAACACTATTAATTACGCCTCACTAGCAGTGTACATCGTGCATCGTCCGAGTGCCCACCAACACCGCAGATGTGTTACCCGTGCATCAGCTTCAGCACGAAAAAGTCATCCTTTGCCAAACAGCCACACCAATCGCA